CCTTTCCAACTCCTGATATTCTGTGATTCTGAAATGCTGGCTGACAAAGTGCTAAAGCTGACGTCTTCGCAAGGGAGACACAAAGTGAGGCAGTTTGCCTAAATAAATCTCTTTAGGAGCATGCACAGACCCTTTCCCCTTGGAGAAACTTTGCTTAGCTTTTCTAAGTTGCAGATCCTGATTGAAGGGGATGTTTCTTTATATTCAAATATTCTGTTGAACTGTTGCAGAGAAATGTGGGGTTTAGAATTATGTGGTTTCAGTGCTGATCAATAATTTACAACTACATTAAGGAGTTAAATGAGGACATAATGAGACCCTTTTTACCTGTAAAGTAGCAATATTTCCCAAAATCATAGAAATCTACAGAGAAAAAGGTAGTTCAGAGGAGACATATATCAAGGAATTTATCTAATGAAATCGAAAAATCATTAGCAGGCACTGAAAAGCAGACAGCTCTCAAGGCAGAGCATAGTTTTCTATAGTCTAGAGACTGGGGCAAAAAGGTTCCTAATGTGAATCCATGGAAAGACAACTTGCTGACTGGGTTTGATTTCAGTTTGCTCTGTGGTTGTTCATTCTAGGTATTGTAAATATGAATTTCAGATTTACAGATCAGCATCGAGTCATTAACAGTTGTTGGTGTACACATTTCTGCCTCAGCATCCCTGAGAAGTGCAAACTAATTCCTTGATACCGTGTTTCCTTCTGGTTTTGTATCTAGTATAGAGCTTGCAGTTTCTCCAGGTGGTAGATACATGGTCAGTCCTAACTACGATACTTTACTCTGTGCTTGTGTCTTTCATTATTATAAGGAACAGGCAGCACCCTTCACACTTTTGTTCCATTAAGTTAAGACTTGTTTGGATCTCAGCTGAATATTAACGAAATGTTACTGAAATTAAAACACAGTGATTTCCATACAGCATTATCTTTTCGCTGCTTTTGCTATTTGCATACCATAAAAAAAAAAAGCAATTCCAGACACAATACCCCTGTGCTCTTACTGGTCTTTATTTATATATTGTTTCCCTATCTCAATAGAACAGCTACAGCATGTTATGAATATACATTGAACGACTTATTCTGGAGGTTGTGTCAGCTGCTTTATATTCAGAAATAAAAAGTCCAAAATACACTGGGTTCATTTATAATTTTCTTTTTTTAATCAGTTTTTGCTTTCCTTATTCATTACCTCTGAAACATTTGCATAATGCCTTAATTTGCCAAGGTTGTTTTATTTAGCCTACATTTTCTACTGTTTCATCTACTATAAAGAAATGTTGGTATAAGCTTGTAGCCCTCTGTTTTTATTCTTTATGCTGTTAATTCCTTACATATAAGCTTTTTTTTTTAATATAGAGTTTTGGTAAGGAATTCTTCATTTGCTTTAAGGAAGAACTTAGCGGATTACTGATGATTCATTCTTATTTCAGATGGGAGCTTTGACTATAACCAGTGCATTGCTTTCTAGTTAAGAGGGCCAAAGTTTCAGTTTAAGTGACTGAAGAAATTCTGAACAGCAGCAGACAGGGATGATTTAGAGGTGCAGGTCTTCAAAATTAAGAGTTACACATCAGGATTTATGTTCAGTGAAAGATCTGGTTCTTCTTGAATCCTTCAAAGTATGTTTCTGGCTATTGATTCAGAGTGGGAGTGGGGAAAAAAGCCTAATCCAGGGAGACTATTGGGGGATTTTTCATTAAATAAGATGAATAACAAATCTATTACTAGGAGAAGTAATCCTAAAGTCATCAGGACAGTTACATATGGAAAGGAGAAAAATTAACTTGTTAATGATGGTGGAATAATTTCCACAAAATCCCACAGTAATGTCAAGATAGTTTAGAAACACAAACGTTTCTGAGATTCTGTTTTTTAAATTTTGAGTTCTTCTTTGAAAAAGTCCCTCTTTAGGGACTGATGCAGCATGCCTGGTTTTGATAACATGTATGTCTCATGTAACAGCATTAATTTTCTCCTAATTCTTCCTTATAGTGTTTAGTGACTCTGTTACCTCCTTTCTTTTGTACATAGTTACATTCTTTTTGATGTTTGCTCTTTAGGTAATGATTCTGACGTTGACCTTGACAGGAAGGAAGATGAGAGAGAAAAAACTCCAAAGAGGCCCAGAGCTCAGAAAGCAGAGAAAACTCCAACTAAGGAGACTGAACAGGTTTCAGGAGCTAAAAATCCTATTATAAGTGTGGTTTTGACAGCCCATGAAGCTATTCCAGGTAACGAGAATCACCAATTCTATACACACATTTGATTTTTTTTTCTATGCTAGCACTGTATAACATAGTCATTGGTCTAAGACTGAAGGATGTAGGATGTTTATTAACTGAAAAATATTTAGTAGCGTTTGGTTATTGTGATACAGAATCTTTGCATCTGACAGCTACATCACTTCAGAATTACCGCCACATTTCTTCATAGGTATTTCAAATGCTGGACCTGGGTGTAGCAACCTACATTAACATCAGTTATGTTTAGTCTGTGAATGGTTTTAAAGAAGAAACTGGAAAAATAGTGACCAAGGAAAAGGAAAGTATTTTTTCCCTGCAGTACCTTTATTTCAGCTCCTGATTTATGTGCCTATTTATGATAAATGTAAATTTGATTATGAAAACACAAACAGCTTAGTATATATAAAACTTAATATTTATGTATACAAATAGTTTGCCAGAAAGTATGTGTACGTATTTGAAAAGCAAGCAAAGTTCCTATGTAATGATTAAAGGATTCTTCATTCATAAATTTCTGTAGTGCCTTTTCATCAAAGGATTTTGGAATAATTTCAAACTATTTATTTTAAAACTAGACTTGCATTTGCCTGTTTATATAAACCAGTCACTCACCTGACTGACAGAATCCCTTTTTAATGATCTTGTGCATTATTTTCAGCCTTGTAGTTTTATTATTCTCCTTTTCATTATTGCTAACATTTCTGAATATTTGCTTACAGCTCTCAGAACAACTAGAATGTGTTTGTTTATTTATTGTTGTAGGTTGGAAGCTAGCAGGATTTTCTGTGTCGTTCTTTCATATCTTTTGATATTGAGATCTGTGATACGCTTGAACTTTGTTTGCTAAAATGCATTTCTGATTGCGATGGTAGAGGAAGCTGGATGAGCTCACCTATGGATATCCTGTGTGCTTAGAGAGGAAGTAAAAAACATCTTCAAATTCATTGAGAAATATTGCTCAGGGTCCAAAGACTTATGCTGAGCTGTTAAAAATGTGATCTTGCAATATTGTAAATATGGGGGAAGGTGTAAGAGGACCGGTGAGCACTAGAAGCATGGAAACCTGGCTTCAGGGTGTTCTGAGGCCTGTGCCATTTCATTTCACCATTCGCAGGCCTCTTCCTCTCGTGTGATGTAACCCTGGGCTCTTTCCTAGCTATTGCTAAACACTCTTTTTCCCACTATGTCTCACCTCTCTTGCCTCATTCCCCCTGCATGTAGCTTCTCCCACATCCTGGTGCCCCTTCCTCCCACTGCCAGAGATGTGGTTCCCCTTGTGTCCCCTGCTCCTTCGTCTGAATGAAGGGGAACGTGTGATGGTTGGTTAAGAGGCTCGTGTAGGTATTGGGAAATGGGGTCACGTAGCTGTTAGTTTATGGGTTTATACACACATCTTCCTTTCTTCAGGGCTTTTGGGAAGAGCTGTAACTGAGGTCTCTTTTCTCCAGGTGCTAAATTTTATGAAACCTGTAAGAACTTTTATCTTTGAGATCTTTACATTTATGGCAAGGACTGGAACAGTTTTTATAAGGAAGGAAAGAAAAGGTAGACAGTGCAATCAAAAACCCATTTTCTTAGGAAACCAGCCTAAAGAGGCAAATAATATAATATTAAATACAGATAGTGAAGAAACTGTGGTAAGCATGTGATGCGGGAGAAGAAATGAAAATCTAGAGGAGATTGTTGCCTTAATTACTACCTAATAAAATTTTTCTTTAGGAAACAAAGTTTGGCTTTTCTTTACACATATGCCTTTTGAGTGACTCAAAATATTAAAACAACCTCAACTTTGGAGCTGTTCGTTTATAGAACATGTTACACTCAAGAGGCTTTAATGAACTGAAAGTATTTACAGTCAAATGTGGACCTGCAGCTGTTTTTTGGGGTCCTCTCATTTATTTGATTGGCAATTAGTAATCTTATTACATTCACATTCCCAGCTAGAGCATGTGTAATAAAGTCATTGCTGTTAAGACAATTGTGAATCATCATCCTGCTTTTCAGAATTTGGAAATTCTTGAAGATGTTGTATAAGAAGTTAACTCTTTGAAAACTTAAAGGAAAAATAATGTCATTTAATGCAATTATGGTTTAATTTATTTTTCATTATTTTTCCTTCTGGTTTTTTTCATTAATTTTTGTGGTCTAACTATATTTTAGTGTCACTAGTAATTCATAGGCTGTTTCCCTTCCTCAGTAATACTTTCATATCTGGAGTTTCAATAAAGGTATTTTATAGTCTTTTATTCAATTTATCATGTGCTGAGGAGGTGATTTATTGCCACAGACAGCTGTTGAAGAATATAGAATCACAGCATGGTTTGGATTGGGACCTTAAGGATGATCCAGTCCAACCCCTGCCATGGGCAAGGACACCTCCCACCAGCCCAGGCTGCTCAGAGCCACGTCCAACCTGGCCTTGAACCCTTCCAAGGAGGGGGCATCCACGGCTTCCCTGGACAACCTGTGCCAGTGTCTCACCACCCTCACAATGAAGATTTTCTTCATCATGTCTAATCTAAATCTCCCTTCTTCCTGTTTAAAACCTTTCCCCCTTGTCCCATCACTCTATGCCTTTTATAAAAAGTCCCTCCTCAGCTTTCCTGTAGACCCCCTTCAGGTACTAGAAGGCCACTATAAGGTCTCCCTGGAGCCAGGCTGAACAACCCAAACTCTCTCAGGTTCTCCTCATAGGGAAGATGTTCCAACCCTCTGATCATCTTCGTGGCCCTCCTCTGGACCTGTTCCAACAGCTCCATGTCCACTAGTTTTCTAGTGATGTCCTTAACCTGGGCCCCAGGGAGGCAAGAGTCTTCCCTAAGAGGAGAGTCTGTCTGACATATTGGACCCTGTGTTGCTCAGAAGGGAGTGTCCTACAACTATAGCCTGTTTTTTCTTCCTTGTGGAAGCTGTTGTCATAAGGGGGGTAGCCTTTTTCACCCTGGCAACACCTCTGGTTTAGATGGACTAGTCTCCACATGCTCCATAGACTGGTCTTCCACATCCAGAGCTTCATACTTGTTGTACAGAAACATCTGGGAGGGCAAGATGGGAAAGGAGGGTGTTTGCCTGCTGCCCTGAGCATGCACTTGCCTCCATTCAGTCCTTTAAACTGCTGCCTTCAGCCTGACAGAGGGAGGATACAGGCCCCCCTTTGATATTGTTGGGTTTTTTTGGTGGCTGTTCCAGTTTTTGTCTTGTGGAGGACAGAGCATGACTCTACCAGTCTAGATCTCTTTTTTAACCTCCCTGATGCTCCTCAACCTTTCTACTTCTTGTAACTCTGTCACCAGGCTGAGCAGATCATCCACTTCACACAGCTGTTCTCACTACTGCCATCCCTTACCTGGGAAGGCTCTGGCACTCCCTGCAGCCAGAGACCTGGACAACTGTGTGTTTTTGTGGGAGCTTTGTCTGGGTTAGCACATCCACTCTGGTGAGTGCAGAGGACAGAGCTTTCTTCTGGGTGGATACCATAGCTAAACTCCTTCTGAGAGGTTGATGACCACCAACTGAACTCACCTCCTGAGCTGACAGAGCTTCAGCTCCCTTCTTGTGCGTTGTTCTGCACAAATGGCCATGCAAACTGCCATGATATACCCTTGCTGATGTGCCACGCTGTTTGCCTGCTTTTTTGGCAGCGCTCCTGGTTGCTCATGCACCCTAGGTTGGCTTTTTGGTTTGTTTTGGTTTGTTTTGGTTTGGTTTTTGTTTTTTTAATGCATGAGGGTGGCTGCTGTTGCCCTGGCAGCTCCCAGGCCTCATCTGTGTTTCCCGTGAGAGCTGCCAGGTCCTGGTGGGTCTCTCCACTCCCCTGATGATTCCTTACCTCAGGAAGACCCACTGTGGGTCACATCAGCTCTGGAGCAGCTCCTCTCAGTGACTGACTGCTGGGATTGATTTACATTGCATATATATTATATATATTCTATATATACATACACCCTCTGTTTGTATATAAATAGATAAAACTTTTCTCCTTTCTCCTCTGCTTTTTTTGTTGAGTTCAGATGAAGTAAAGCTTGAAAGTACTTAACCACTATCAAAGCTTAGCCATCTTTCTGCAAGCATTAGCATTCTGTAGCTACCTGTTATCTAGCTTTAAAGATGCATGGCAATATCCCTTCTTGTGTCCAGTGCAGTAAAACGGTGTTGAAGATGTCAGATAAGCATAGAAGAATCAGTCAGTTAGAAGAATAGAGAAGGCTGTAGGAATTGGTTGTTTCAGTAGCCACAGTACGGACAAAATATTCAGATTGTATGTCTCCCTTCTTAAATGAAAGATGCACTTACAAGTATTACATTAACAGTATGCTGTAATTTTCTCATACAGTATTTAGGTGTGGGACACTGCTTTACATCATGTGTTCAGTAGATTTTGACTAAATTGATCTCCTCAAAATCTCTCTGAACAAACAAATCAGTTAATTTTTAACTTTCCAGAAAGGACAGCAGGGCAACATTGTTTTTTTGTTTTGTTTTGTTTTTTTTTACCCATGTTCCTTTTCTGTAATGTTTATTTGGGAGGCATATGGAAAGTAATAGATTTACAGCTTTAGAAATTTCAAAGCCTACATTAACCCACAGAGTAAATAAATACAGTTTGAATAAAAGTGGTAGATTTTTTTTTTCTGTGCAAGTTTTGAAGTACTTTGACAGGCAAGAGTGGAGTGCCCACGTGAATCTCATGAAGTTCAGCAAGGCCAAGTGCAAGATCCTGCACCTGGGCTGGGGCAATCCCAAGCACAAATACAGGTGGGGTAGAGAATAGATTGAGAACATCTCTTAGAAGAAGGACTTGGAGATGCTGGTTGATGAGAAGTTCAACATGACCTGGCAATGTCTGCTTGCAACCCAGAAAGCCAACCACATCCTGGGCTGCACCAAAAGAAGTATGGCAAGCATATCAAAGGTGGTAATTCTCCACATCTACTCTGCTCTCATGAAACCCTACCTGGAGTACTGCGACCAGCTCTGGAGGCTCCAAC